GCTGGGATTACAGGCTTGAGCCACCGCGCCCGGCCAATTTTTTGTATTTTTAGTAGAGACGGGGTTTCACCATGTTGACCAGGATGGTCTCGATCACTTGACTTCGTGATCCACCCGCCTCGGCCTCCCAAAGTGCTGGGATTACAAGCGTGAGCCACCGCGCCCAGCCAAAACTTTCTATTAGATGGCAGAAATGTTCACCTGTGCTGTCCAGCACTGCAGTCACTAGTCACATGAAGCTGGTGACTGCTTACTGGAAATATAAATAGTGTGGCTGACAACCTAATTTTTTTTTTTCTTTTTTTCAAGACAGACTTTTGCTCTTACGCCCAATCTCTGCTCACTGCAACCTCCGCCCCTGGGTTGGAGCAATTCTCTTGCCTCAGCCTCCCAAGTAGCTGGGATTACAGGCACCCTGCCACTATGCCTGGCTAATTTTTGTATTTTTAGTTGAGATGAGGTTTCACTATGTTGGCCAGGCTGGTCTCAAACTCCTGACCTCAGGTGATCCAGCCCCCCCCACCCAGCCTCCCAAAGTGCTGGGATTACATGCATGAGCCACCGTGCTTTTTAAATTTTATTTTCGGCCCTAAATTTTAATTTTATTTTCATTTAGATGAAATCACAACATATAGCTAGTGGCTACTGTAAGTGCACAGTGGAGAAGAACATTTCATAAACTTCAGAGCACAGGCCCACAGGACAGAGGGAAAACAGTGGACAAGCTTACCTGCAAGGCTCTTCAAAAATGCTGTCCCAGTCACAATAATGTGTCACTTTGTTTAAAAAGCTGTGTACTTTTTGATGTCAGTAATGGTATATGATGATATGACCTATTTCTGTTTCTTCTAGAATCTATAGATATTATTCAAAGGATACTGAGCTCATTTAAATTGCTTTTAAAAGAAAAGCTGACAAAAGCAAACAAAAAATTGGTATTGTGGTTCTCTTTAGGAAAAGGATCGTGAACTTGAAATTAAAAACATCTATAGTCATCGAATACTTAAAAATTTACATGACACCGAGGACTATCCAAAAGGTATGTTTTAATTACTTTTGCTCAAAATCTATTTTTAAGTAACTAGTCAGATTTTCCTAATATATATAACCAAAATAATGGATATTTTTAAAAATCATTTCAGTAGGCATTAAAATACATTTTGTGATTCTAGAAGAATAATGAAACTGATCTAGTGAGATCGCTAGAAAAGAATAGAAATTCTGCTGCTTCTCCGAGAAAACACCAATGGCAGATGACGCGAGTGCAGTTTACTTTCAAATGCAACAACCTCGAATTTCCTTGCCTGCCTTTGTTTGTTTCTGGTTTATAATGTAGAATAGCAGCCACCAGAGATGATGAATCAACCAAGGGGTTGTTGAAATGATATAATTTCCTTCACTTTTCAGGGAGAGTGCAGTCTAGATTGAGTCATGCACCTCAGCATGGACAGTCTAACCACTGACAGTCAAGAGCTCTGCCACAGGATAGCCCGGTGGCCTGGCCTCTCACAGTTACATGTCTGTAGTGTTGAATCCCTTCTGCAGAGGACAGCCTTGTCCTCAAACAGCAACACCGTCTTATCCTAACACCTACTTTGTACTCCAACACTGTGCAGCCCAAAGTAAGGCAAGCAAGGGTCCTGGAGGGAAAAACAGGAAACGAACAATGCTAGGTCTATACTGAATATTTAGAAACTACTTAGTATATTTTATTATTACATTGCATAAATATTATTTTATGCTTAAAATCAATATTGAGTCCAAATGTAAAATATGTTTCTTACACGTAATCTACCTGTTCTGTAGTTTCTTCAACAAAATCAGTCCAAGCAGACAGAAAAAGTTTGCCATTCACAAGTATGAGACACCAGGCAACCCAAAAATCAGATGTTCCACCTTTGACAACTAAGGTACAGTAAATTTTGAATCTTTTTTTTTTTTTTTTTTTTTTTTT